GGAGGTGCATAGCACTTCCTGCCTCACTCTCTTGCCTCTGCTTTGGCCACCTGATGTGTGTGTTCCCCCTTCACCTTCCACTATGATTGTAAGTTTCCTGAGGCCTCCCCAGAAGCCAAGCAAATGCCAGCATAATGCTTTCTATACAGCCTGCAGAACCATAAGCCAATTAAACCTCTTTTCAGTACTTATCTATAGCAATAAGAGAAAGGCCTAATACAGAAGCTAAGACCCTGTATTCAACCCTTTTCTTTTGCAATTGCTAGGGAGAGAAAACAGACCATGGCAAATCTCCTCCTGCTTCTCAAGGCTTCTGCCTGGGACAAACCTCACTTCCGCTCATGCTTTATAAGCAGCACATGGTCACATCTAACTTTAAGGGGCCAGGGAAGAATATCCTTACCAGATGTCCACAAGGAGACTGGACAATATTTGGTGAATGTCGGTCATGACCACCCCACATGTAGTGTCCTTTCCAAAGCCAATTTTTTCCTTTTTGTTGTTGTTGTCGATTTTTAAAGATTCCCTTTAGTTATTTGAGTTACCATAAATCCTTCCAGTGATCTTATTTTATAGAAAATAAACAAACCAAACACCCTAAAACTTTACCAACACTCCAGAAGGCATTAGACTTGACATTATAAATGTACAGACTGAACATCTTAGGACAGTGAACTTCAGCTGATACACTGGGCTAGTTTTGAAAAAAGAGTACATACATATTTTTCAAGAATAAAATTTTAATAGGAAAAGGAAGCAGAGCATGGCATGGGCCAATATTTAGATTTGAATAATTATTGGTAGCCACCCCATGTCAGGCAGGGAGCCAGGGATTTTTGCATATTCTAGTTAATTCAATTTACTTCTTTATAAAAACAATTTGAGGTGAGTCTTATCCACAATTTGTATATGCAGAACCTGAGGCTGAGGGAGGTAAAATGAACTGTTGGGCGCGGTGGCTCAAGCCTGTAATCCCAGCACTTTGGGAGGCCGAGGCGGGTGGATCACGAGGTCAAGAGATCGAGACCATCCTGGTCAACATGGTGAAACGCTGTCTCTACTAAAAATACAAAAAATTAGCTGGGAGTAGTGGTGCGTGCCTGTAATCCCAGCTACTCGGGAGGCTGAGGCAGAATTGGCTGAACCCAGGAGGTGGAGGTTGCGGTGAGCCGAGATTGCGCCATTGCACTCGAGCCTGGGTAACAAGAGTGAAACTCTGTCTCAAAAAAACAAAACAAAACAAAACAAAACAAAACAAAAGCCATTTAGCTAGCAAATGACACCTTGGCTTGAATGCTATCATCTGATACTATGGAGACAGAAGAGAAGAATACAGTGTGTACGCTTGGATAGCGTGCACTGTTCGGTTTTGCAGAATTGCGAGATATACCACAGGTTGGAGAGTACCAAGGTAAAAAGGTTGGAGTTTATTAGTTAGGTAGTGAGATAGAGGATTTTTTGAGTTGGTGGGGGACATTGGTAGGGCTAAAAACATTGCCTCAGAAACACTGATCTGCTATTGTGGTCTAGGATGAATAGAAATGAGGCATACTGAGGCAATGAGGAATTCTGTGGGTGTTGGCAGGGGAAACAAAACTATCTACCATCCAGTCTTCAGACCCATTGGGAATGGCTGGATGACGTCAGAATTTGCCCTGTGTAGGTAGCTCCCACTTTTCATTGTAGGTTTCTCAAGGACTTGCTCCTAGAAAAAGCCTGGCTCAAAAGTGGATAAAAAATAGGCAACTGCCTAAGTGTGAAATTTACAAAGCTCCTCTCCAAAAAAGCCCGCCTCCTCCCTATCACTTGTGGGCCTGACATTTTACCAAAGGGGCTCTATTCTTTCAAGAGTTTGTTATTAAAGTGTGACTATTTGAGGATTGGAGGCAAAAGGGATACTGAGCAGTGTCCTTACTAGCAGTGTCCAGGCAAGTGACATAAATGTGCGGGGGCAACTTGTATGAGCACTGTGAAAATGACAGCACGTCTGCTCTACCTAAAGGGGTAGCAGCTTCTTAGCTCTGACTGAGGGACTCAGTTTGGGATCTGCTTATTTTTCTTTCATTCTTTTTTTTTTGCTGACAGCATTTTACTCTGTTGCCCAGGCTGGAGTGCAGTGGCACCATCTTGGCTCACCGCAACCTCTGCCTCTTGGGTTCAAGCAATTCTCTACCCTCAGCCTCCTGAGTAGCTGGGATTACAGGCACGCACCACCACAGCCTGGCTAACTTTTGTATTTTTAGTAGAGGCAGGGTTTCACCATGTTGGTCAGGTGATCTGCCCCCCTCAGCCTCTCAAAGTGCTGGGATTACAGGCATGAGCCACTGAGCCTGGCCAGGATCTGCTGATTTTTCAACAGTAACCTCCTAACCAAGGGTTTTTTTTTTTTTCTTGTTTGGGAAAGCCCCCAATTTAAACTATTGCATCCAGTTTACATTTCTTAATATCACCGTGCTGGCCACATTCAGCTCTCTATTTGCCACCGTAGATTTTAATACCATTTTACCAAAACCCTTCCAAATTTGAGAGCACATCTTTTTTTTTTTTTTTTTGACGGTGTTTTACTCTTGTTACCCAGTCTGGAGTGCAATGGCGCGATCTCGGCTCACCGCAACCTCCGCCTCCTAGGTTCAGGCAATTCTCCTGCCTCAGCCTCCTGAGTAGCTGGGATTACAGGCATGTGCCACCATGCCCAGCTAATTTTTTGTATTTTTAGTAGAGACAGGGTTTCACCATGTTGACCAGGATGGTCTCGATCTCTTGACCTCGTGATCCACCTGCCTTGGCCTCCCAAAGTGCTGGGATTACAGGCTTGAGCCACTGCGCCCAGCCGAGAGCACATCTTTAGTAAAACTCGGCATGGAGCAGGTTTGTTTGGATTGCTGAGAGGGTAGATAGGAAAGTTTGGGTGCTAGGCGGGAACTGCAAGGAGGACCTGGGCCATATATACTGGGCATCCTAGTGCCTGGGCCTTGGAGAGGAGACTGGTTGCTGACATGGCAATGTCTGTTGCAACCCAGGCTTCCTGGCTGACCACCTTGGAGCAGGCCTCCGAGCACAAGGAGGGCTAGGCAGTGCTTGTTTCTCTCGGTTCCAGTTGGCCCCTTCCCATTGACATTACAGTAATGCAGTTGTGTGGTGTTTGAAAAAGCATCCCTAGTTACACAGAATGATTTACAGGACACCAGACTCTGCATTTCAGAGGCCTCCAGTGTACCATAAAAAATATATTATAAAGGAATAATCTTTATCTGAACTAAAGCTTGCAGTGAAGGAAACTCGTGTCCAGCTGAGAGCAGCAGTGAGCTTTTGTTCACTCAGGGAAAAGTCCGTGTTCTTCATCTTATTTGATTAATATTTTTTTTCTCTTTGGCACTAGGCATCTCGTTAATATTTAGACATTATAGACATTTTATTTCAACTGGTTTTCCTATTACGTGATCAGATAAAACCGGAGATGCCAGCCACAGCAGCCAACAAGGGGAAAGCAGCCCTGCCAAACACCCAGCTGTGGCTGGGGGGCAATTGGGACTCACTAGAGCCATCCCCAGGAGGCACCTGGCTGAGCTCTGTGCAGAGCCAGCCCCGGTTGCAGAAAGCAGAGTTTGCTGGAGTGCCTCAGTTGATCACTCTGCGTCTTTCTCACATTTTCCTCACTCCCCTGAGCAAAATGCAACAGGAAGCAAGTCTAGTTGTGAATCTTCCAAAGCCTTCTGATTACCATTTCCCCACAGGAGAGGGAGGTTAGGGGTGGAGAGCTCTCTGCAAAGAAAATACACTTAAAAAAATTCAGTGAGGCGATGCACAGACCCCCTGCAACCCAGCTTGTCTCCGCTTATTAGGTGTTCAGAGCGACAATGGTCCCACACGATTTCAGTCCAGGAAACCATGAACTCCGTTAGTGGCGTTGCCCCCAAAGAGGCACAGGTGTGTGCACCTGTGATTAAGGGTGTCGAGGAGGGGACAGCCTCATCTCTTGAAGCAGAAAGTGCTGTCACCTGGTGATGGGACAGATGGAAAAGCTCTGGGGCTGGGAAACCTGGAGGCTTGTGTCAAAGCTCCACCCATCAGGAGCTTCAAGATAAGATGGGGAAGCTGGAAAGATGGAAGACGGGATGGGAAAGCAGTTTTAGAGAAGGATTCACTCCTGGACCGAAGGCAGGAGGATATCCCGGGCGAGAGAAGTGGGGGTCGGGATGGGCTGAGTTGGAGTCCCAGGGGAAAAGCGGAAGCCACAGCTCGTCACCGCTGTCCTCCAGCTCCCGGTGCGCGGCACCGGCGGCTGGCGTTGGGCTCTACTTCCCTAAAAAGTATTGGGGCAAAGGAATGGAGAACACGGCGTCCCGAGGTCCCAAGGGAAGGGACTACGCGAGGTGCGGTGGGAAACACCCCAAGTGCGTGTATGCTGGGAGGGCTGGGGTGGGGCACGATCTCTGCTCTCCCGGGTGCCCCAGCCCTAGCGCACGCTTCCGCTCCCGCGCCCCCCTTCGCAGGCGCGCGCGAGGCGCACCCCCATTCCCTCGGCTGCGCCGGGCGCGCGCCCGGCCCCCTCCTCCTCCCCTCCGCGCCTCTCCTGTCTCGCGGCAGAAAGTTAGCAGCGGGGAAGGAACTCGCGGCTGCAACAGCGCGCGGTAGCGGCGGCAGAAGCTGAAGCAGGAGCCGCGGTGGAGCCGGGGAAGCGGGGGCGCTGCAGACGGAGCAGGTGCCGCCGGCGGGTCCGCGCGCCCCCCTCGGTCCCCTTGCCTGAGGCTGAGGGGGGGGTGGTGGGGGGCCACCCGGACTCGGCGGGCAGCGTGGGGCAGGGGGCCATGCGGCCGGGCTCCCCCCGGGCGCAGCGGGACAGCGGCCAGGGCCGGGGGCGCAGCGGCGTCGCTTCATGCAGCCGGGGCGGCTGGGCAGCAGCGGCGGCGGCGGCGGCGGCGGGGGCGGCGGCTGAAACCATGTCCGGGCAGCGCCGGGGGCTGCTGCCGCCGCCGCCGCCGCCGCGAGCCGGGAGCCGCGATGGCCCGGTGGCCCGCACCTCCTCCTCCTCCGCCTCCGCCTCCACCTCTGGCCGCGCCGCCGCCGCCCGGCGCCTCTGCTAAGGGGCCGCCGGCGCGCAAGCTGCTTTTTATGTGCACCTTGTCCCTGTCTGTCACCTACCTGTGCTATAGCCTCCTGGGCGGCTCGGGCTCTCTGCAATTCCCCCTGGCGCTGCAGGAATCGCCCGGCGCCGCCGCCGAGCCCCCGCCGAGCCCGCCGCCACCTTCTCTGCTGCCTCCCCCCGTGCGCCTCGGCGCCCCCTCGCAGCCGCCCGCGCCGCCGCCGCTGGACAACGCGAGCCGAGGGGAGCCGCCCGAGCCCCCGGAGCAGCCCGCCGCCCCCGGGACCGACGGCTGGGGACTGCCGAGCGGCGGCGGAGGCGCCCGGGACGCCTGGCTCCGGACCCCGCTGGCCCCCAGCGAGATGATCACGGCGCAGAGCGCGCTGCCGGAGAGGGAAGCGCAGGAGTCCAGCACCACCGACGAGGATCTCGCAGGCCGGAGAGCGGCCAACGGGAGCAGCGAGAGGGGCGGCGCCGTCAGCACCCCGGACTATGGAGAGAAGAAGCTGCCGCAGGCGCTCATCATCGGGGTCAAGAAAGGAGGGACCCGCGCGCTGCTGGAGGCGATTCGCGTACACCCGGACGTGCGGGCGGTGGGCGTAGAGCCGCACTTCTTCGACAGGAACTACGAAAAGGGGTTGGAGTGGTACAGGTAGGACCCTAGGCTCCGCGGGCTGGTGGAGACGCGTCGGGGGGACGCGGAGGGGAAGCCGCGGCTTTCCACGCCCTTCGAGTGTCCAGGTACTGTCCCGAGAGCCCCAAGCCCCCGCGAGCGTTCTGCAAACCCTGGCGGCGTTGCTCAGGGGCATCGGCCGGGAGGGCTGGACTCTAGCGAAAGAACACTTTGTTTCAGGGCGAGGGGAGGAGATATCACCCAGCCCTGCCTCCAGCGCTTCTCATACTAGGAGGTGCTGTCTGAATCTGCCCAGCTCCACGCCTGGGAATCCCCAGAACCTCGTGCGTGCCGGGTGTTTCCGAACCTGGGTTCTTGCGAGGGCTCTGGGATTCTGGGCTGAGGACGCCAAGGAGTGAGACAGGAAGGCTAAATTAACTAAGGGGCTTTGAGATCCCCTGGAATCTCTTAAAATCACCCTCAAACGGATTTGAGTGGCTGGAATTCAACTTTAGTGTGTTAAGGTCAAAGCAAAATGAATAGGGAACAGTTACAAAGATCATGCCAGCGTTTTGGCTTTCTAGTAAAGAAAGGATGTCTTCCACCTCCGTAACTTTCCATCCCCTTTGGCTGAATGAGCACGGAGTTGATTTTGCTCTAGAAGCCTCAATGTCTGCATGACAGTGGGTGCCCTGAGAGTTTTTATGCCCCAGACCGTGCCCTGTCTAATCTCCGCCTCCTTTGCAACAGATTGGAGCTTCTGTCTTGTGAGATGTTCATCTCCCTCCTTTCCCACTGTCTGTCGGTGGTGAGAGAAAGGGAGAAGAGAGGACCAGAAAGTTAAGTGAAGGGAAAATAAATTAATAATCCAGCTTTCCGGCCAGCCATAACATTTTAAAAAACACTGGTGCAGATGCCCCAAACGCAAACCTCCTTTGCCTTTGTTTTTTTCTCTTTCTCTCTTTCTTCTTGTTTTATATCTTTCTGGAAGACAGATCTGCATGGCTGGCTCCATCTCCATTGCATTTTGGTAATTAATTGCAATTGTCAAACAGAAACACAGGCTTTGTCAACTAAAGTGATGTTATCATCTTAGCAGAGCCAATAGGTAAAATAAAGATTGTTTTCTGACAGGTTGCCTGCCCATTCAGGAGATGTGCTTTCTAGGTTTAAATTACAGCCTGGGAAAGTTTTAGAAATAACTTAACGTCAGAAATATATAATAAATGTGTGTATTATGATTGATTTCTTCCACTTTTAAAAATATGCCTTATGCTTTAAAAGCTTGAGAGTACACTTAGGCATAAACATTCCAGTACATTACAGAGAAGCAGCAAATGTGTCTGTTAATGTCTTGTCTGTTTCAACAGAGAGAACTAATTGCAGTATTTTAGGAGGCTTCAAACAGCCCCTTCCTATCAAAACATAAAACAGCAAATGCCTAATTTAACTGGAAAATCAGTATTTATAACATCAGAAGCCATGGCTTCCAGTTTGTGATTATAATTAAAAAGGTGTTAGGATGATTAATGCAGCAACAGCAAAATAAAGAAGGGGCATGCTGTCTGGGAAGGTTTTAGTTGTTTAATTGCTGGTTGTAGGAATGTTCTGGTTTCTTCTGTGGGGTAGCTTTGGCTTTATGAGGGTAATTGCATTTTTTTTTTCCAATTCCAATTTTAGAATTGTGAGAAGTGTCAAATGCCCTTTCAGGGAGGTGGAAAGATAAAATCTTTCTAAAATCTGAGGTGTTTGGGTTTGTGGCAGCTGGAAATAGAGAGGGGGTGTTTTATTCGTGCAACTTAATATGTGGTGGAATGTGTACCAAGAAATCTGGAGGGTTTCTGAATGAAAGAATAGAAGATGTCAGATTTTCCCAGATTCCTTTATGCTGATGTTAGGAAGAGAAGGTATAGAAATTACCTTGTTTGACGTGGCTCCTGAATATGTTATTTCAACGCTGTGGTATGCCCAGCCTCCTACTCACAACCAATGCTTGTGGCATTTGGGGCTCAGTGTCAGTATTTGGTAGCCATTCACAGAACTGTTAAAGTGAAGAGGTGTGGATAGAACAAGATTCCTCTGATCCTCACTTAAGAGGACCATGTGATAGCTCTATCTCCACCCCAGCTTCTAGCCCAGTGGTGCTGATTGAAAGCGCTGGACACGAAATTCTCTTAGGAACAAGCTTCCTGCCAATACATGTCTAACACAGAGGGAATCATTAGCCCCCAAACTCCACTTTTGGAAAGACTAGCTGGACCTACAGAATCTGAGTGTGCTGGAACTGCCTTGAACCACTCTCCAGCCTTACCACAGAGAGCAGTCTTTTGAGGAATTTGTGAAATTTTCATCAGTTCCATCTCTTCAGACTCCTCTTCCCCTCCCATATGGGAAGAGGGGCAGCATTCTCACTCTGTTGTAGAAAAGGAAACAGTGGCATTGATTCAGTATCAGATGGCACTGATCAGTGGCATTGATTCCAGTATCAGAAACTTTCTCCTGGTTTTCTAGCCCAACTCTTAATCTTTGAAATGGTGAAATCTGTACCCAAACGGTATCATTCCTTCCCATGCCAGTGTCCTATATAGAATCTATTTATCTGATGAGAGAGCCACAGGTTAATTAAAGGTTTTAATATTTCCCATTTATTTATTGTTATTTGGTTTAAATGTGCTTCCAGTAGCCTATGAATTCTGTGCATGTTTCTGGTTCTTGTGTTTTCAGCAAGAGGGAGAGGCAAGAAGAAATTGGGGCTGCTCTCTGCACAGCTGGCTTGGGGTTTCCTCATATTTGACTAAGCAGCTCTATCAGTCTTAGCTCCTCAGTGCCACTCCAGTTATCTCTAAATCCAGGTTTTGCTTTCCTCCTATGCCGTTGATCTAATGTGATATAAAAACACATCTGAGATTAGAACGTGTGCACAGATTTTCAGGGCAACATAGACTAATGGATTAGGATATATGTGTTAAAATCTGTGGAGAAGCAAGCCTCCCTTTGTGGATTGACACAGGCCAGTGATTAATAAATCAGGGGAGATTAAACCCTCCATGCCCTCTTCTTTCTCCCTTTCCAAAAAAAAAAAAAAAAAGGCAAAGCCACAATGCACCTATCAGAATGAGCTGATTACAAGCTGTCTAGGCAGAGACTTTAAACTCTTCTAAAGGATGGGACCTCGGGCCAGGCCAACTGGCTGCCACTGCAGAACTCATCAAAGTGATGGAGACAACATGAGCTGTTTTCTCTCTCATAGTTTATAGACCGTACAGTAACTATGACTGCTTTACATTGGAAACCATTCAGCCCCAGGGCAATGGGAAGTGATCGTCCATGGTTTGAAGTTGTCTTCCCTGTCAACAGTTAATACGCACATCCTATTGGCTAGAGGAAAGTAACTCAGGAAAATGCTCTCAAAAGTCATGCTCATGCAACCCAGAGGAAAACGGTCAGTGTTCATCAGCATTTTTTGCAGGTGGTAACTGGGGAGAGAATAGAGAAGGATGGAATTTCATTGGCATTTATTGAATGCCAGCTATTGTGGCAGTTGGTGCTACCTACAATCATAGACGTGTTATTTCATTTGGGTGTTGTGATTGCATAGTGATATATGTAGCAGTGTTTCTATTTTACAGGTGGCTCTGAGAGGGTAAATGGTTAGCTCAGGGTCACTTGGCCTTTCAGTGCTTGTGCTGAGATTTGAACCTTCTGTCTAATTTCAAAGTGCTGATTTCTTCCCCTGAACCACACTGACACACGTAAAGTACTAGGAAGCATGTATCCCATGCTCATTCATTCACTCAACAATTATTTTAAAAATATGTACCATATACCCTATACTGGGTAAAGTACTGGGGTTAAAGAGGTGAATAAGATAGATGAAGCACCTGTTCTCCTGGAATTAACATTTTAGTAGGACAGTTGTGGAGACAGCAAACAAAGAGCAAATGTAATAAAAATTCTGGGCCGGGCGTGTTGGCTCCCAGCACTTTGGGAGGCTGAGGTGGGTGGATCAAGAGGTCAGGAGTTCAATACCAGCCTGGCCAAGTTGTTGAAACCCCGAATCTACTAAAAATACAAAAATCAGGCCGGGCGCGGTGGCTCAAGCCTGTAATCCTAGCTACTCAGGAGCTGAGGCAGGGGAATTGCCTGAACCCAGGAGGCGGAGGTTGCGGTAAGCTGGGATCGCGCCATTGCACTCCAGCCTGGGTAACAAGAGTGAAACTCCGTCTCAAAAAAACAAAAAACAAAAAACAAAAATTAGCCGGGCACGATAGCAGGTGCCTGTAATCCCAACTACTCAGGAGGCTGAGGCAAGAGAATCGCTTGAACTGCGGGGGTGGAGTTTGCAGTGAGCCAAGATTGCACCACTGCGCTGTAGCCTGAAAAATAAATTGATGGCCCAGAGCTATTCTGTCCAGTATGGTAACTACTGTCAGTGTCTGGCTATTGAATAGATGAAATGTCCAAATTGAAATATGCTGTAAGTATAAGATACACAGAATACTAAATTGTTCAATAATAATTTTAGATTGATTACATGTTGAAATTATACTCATATTAAGTAAAACATACTGCAATTAAGTTCACCCCTTTAGACCTTTTCAATGTGGCTACTAGAAAATTTAAAGTTACACTTGTGACTCACATTATATTTCTGTTGGGCAGCACCTGTGTGGTGTAGTGCTTTGTAAACGTTAGGATCATCTGGGGATCTTGCTAACAGGTAGCTTTGGATTCAGCTGGTCTTAAGACGCGTCTAGTAGTCCACATTTCTAAATGGTTGCTAGATGCTGCTGCTGCTTTCTGGATCTCACTTTGAGTAGCAAAGTCCTGGAAAGTAATTGGGGAATATGTCTGTGCCTGTTGGTTATTATTATTTAGAAAATTTTTTTAAAATATGGGGGTCTTGGCTGGGTGTGGTGGCTCAGGCCTGTAATCTTAGCACTTTGGAAGGCCAAGGCTGGTGGATTTCCTGAGCTCAGGAGAACACGGTGAAACATCATCTCTACTAAAAATACAAAAACGTAGTCAGGTGTGGCGGC